GAGATAAAGAATAAAATGAAATATTAAAATCAAAATGTATCTCGTTGAATTGTTCGAGTACCCTTCTAGTTAATGGATAAATTAGAATACTATATTGTATTTAACTATTTTATTACTTATAAATAATTACACTATTATTTAATCAAAAGTTTTTATACTAATATTAGTTAATATATTAACCACTAGTAATAAAAAATTCATTTAAAATGACGTCATAATTAATTAAACATATATTAATTAAATTATTGGCATTAAAAATAAATAAATTAATGTAAACAAACAGAAATTCAGGAGTTATGATTATGTCAAAGAGAGATGTGGTCCAAAATCCCCCCCAATTATGAGATGTACAAAACACATATAAGAAAGATATAACCTCAAACCCTTGTATATTTGGTTATCATTTTGTCAATGTGGTCCCAATTTATTTTAATCATATATTCTCTTTCATGAAAAAATCAAATACATGTTTTTTTTATTAACATGAATATCCAATCTGCTATGCGAGCTGATTAATCGCAGGACGACCATCTGTTTTGTAGATAGTCCGGAGTCACTACATTTGAACCTCCGTTGGTACAAGGAAATTTTTATTGCTCTTTGGACTTGAACATAAGACCTCCTGGTACTTTTGACCTTTGGAGCGAAACTCAAATACATGTTTCAATCAATTGGTTTTGTTTTTGTTTGTTCGTTGGAAAATCAACTTTCAAAACCTGTCATTTTGATAAATAAAATTACACAGACTTTAAGTTCGTATTTGACTTTTGAGGAAGAGTAATTTGCTCACCCGACTTCTTAAATAAAAGGACTGGAAAGTTGGTTCTCTACCGTACAAATAAAAATAAAGTTTATTTCATTTTGGTGCAACTTGTTTTTTAGGTTACGTTTGGTGCATGGCTATGAATATGATAGGACATGACAGAATCATTGTTTCACATTTGGCATGATATAGGACGGGACAAAAATTCATTGTTTCATGTTTGACCTACATGGGATAAAAACAGAGTAGGATTGGATAAGGCAAAAAAAAAAAAAATTTAATGTGTTCCATCAAAATAGGTGGAACAAGATGAGATGAAAAGAAAGCAATTATCAATCTACCCTCATTTGATATAACTATAATTATGATATTCACTTTAATGGTCACCACTATCCGTTTTCGTCGTCACCACTGCCATTGGCGCTCATCGTCGACCACCTCCACCATGATCACCAGCTCTGACACCATCAGTTACCACTACCCATTACCACCTCCACCTCCTACACAATCACCACATCCACCTTATCGGCAATCATCACCTACACCTCCAAATCCATTATTGTCGGCCACCGCCACCACCACCACCGTCTACCATCTCCATGATCTCATAATCACCAACCCCATCACAACTACTAGCGCTCATCGCCTCACCATTACTATATGCTACCATTATCACCATCCTTTACTATCTCTACCTTCAGCATATTGGCCATTATGACCTCTACCTCCAATACCACCACCATCCACCACATAGGCGGACTAGAGGCTTGGATGGAGGGGTCATGGCCCCCAACTTGAGAAGGCTAAAAAATTCCTTTTAAACAAGTTTTCCTATTGGGCCCCCAACTATTGAACTAGACCTGATTTTCTTTGAAGTCGGTCCATAGTCCAAACATCCAATACATAGTCCATGACTCCACTCTCCAAACGTACATAATCACATGGTCGCTAGCGATACTTGTTGTTCAAACGAGAATGAGAAGTCGAAAACAATTTTGAAGTAATCCAACACCTAGTGATTTACATTTTACACCTTATCTTGGGAAAAAGGAGGAAGATCACTTTGATCTCTTGTTTCTCCACCTTAACGACAAGAAAAAGGATTGATCAAAGCTTGCTTGAACATTAATAAGTCCTTTTGGTATTCTACGTGCAGTCGATGCAGGAACAAAGTAGCAGATTCGTTGATCCTTTGCTCACGCTCATAGGAACAACATGGTGTTCTACTCAGAAGAGAAGTTTTCCACTTGCTGCAAAAGTCATCTGCTTTCGCGCTCGACAACCCCCGATCCACGACGAGGGAGGATTCTCTGGAAAATCTTTTTCGAAATCTCGAGGACTTCAATGATACTGGGCCTGTCGGACATGTCAGTCTATCGATACAACGTATTTTGCGACCGCGATGATTTTTGGCTACCATCCTGCTCACGTTAAGTCTCGTCTTGAAATCGATTCTGAAATTGATTTTGAAATCTCAAAGGCTAAAACGCGTTTGGCTCATCTTAATTCTTGGTTTGTAGGTAAAACCCTAAAACACTTCTTGCCTTTTAGTTTTAATTTTGATTTTTGATTCATAACTTATAAATGAATATGATTTTGTTGTCTTCTTAGGCCTTAGCTTCTCTTTTTTTTTTTGGATGATTGAATATTTGATATGTTAATATGTTGTTAGTAATTTAATTTGTGATATACTGATTTTTATTTTACTATTGTTATTGCTAGAAAAAAAAAGGAAACTTTTTTTAAAAGAAAAGCATCAACATCTGAATCTAGTTCTGCTCCTTACCTCCTTTGATATCCAGTGAAATTGATTTGAATGCTCTTCCTTAGATGCAGCTGATAGTAAAAAAAAAAAAAGCAGAGTATCATCCTAATCAATATATTGTGCCCTCTACAATAATTTTTTCTGGATCCACGGTATTCCACCATCTCCATGTCATTCGGAACTAAATTTGCTTCATAATACTTAATTTTGTGGTGTTTAACAAATTTGATTTTGATTTTTGAGGTCGAAATATGGTCTTATTGAGAAGCATGTAAAAAGATGTAATAAAATTAATTTTAAGAATAAATACAAAATAATCTGACTACGTGGCCGTTTACTAAAAGCACTTACATTGGTAAGTGCTTACCGGCTATATTACCTTACCGACAAACATAACAAGGACCAAGAGTCTTACCTGGTAAGAGGGAAGACAAGAATCGAAAGTCTTACCTAGTAAGTAAGGGTGATGACTCTTACCCGGTAAGCGCTTACCGGGTTATAAATGTTTACCGTCAATCCATTTTGATGAGAAAGAATATTATCTCACTAGTTGTGTACCCGCGCAATGCGACCGGAGCCGTGAATTTTAACAATTTTGAAGTTCCACTGGTTTAATTAGAAAAGATTTAACGATGATATAAGTTACACTTGGTCTTTACATATTAATATATTTTGAATAAATAAGAGTTATGGTTCCAACTATAGTCCATCGATGGAAAAAATTGTATGACAATTTAAAATCCAATATATTTAAAATTCAACATATTTAAATGATCCACAAATGTGTTCGATTTACACTAAGAGCAAAGAATCAAGAGATCGAGAGCGAGACCGAGAGTTCTAGAGCAATTGAATGAGAGATGAATGAGAGAACTTTTAATAACTCATGATGAATATCAGTTTGAGTCTCACCTTGGGGATGGGGAGAAGACATAGAGGTATGAGAGGGTGAAGGCATGAGTGAAAGGAGTCAAAAGTATCTTGGGAACATGAAAAAAAAGATAATAATATGCATTGGTACCTTGTACTATATCTATACTATCTTATAAAGCAAATTTAACAAAAGTCTTAAAGTCGTAAAATACTAAATAACCAAGATACCCTTTATATCATTTTTTTCACTTTTTTACCCCATCATCTCCTCACATACACTCACCCCCTCACAACCGGATTTTTTTTAAATTTACATTTTATAACCCTATAATTAGTTAATTAATTTACTTTACGTCATTTACTTTTAAATGTTTCATTTTAAACATTTATCAAATTAATATACGTAATCGTATATCAATTAAAACATGTTTAAAAAATACATTTTTATTTTAACAAGTTACACCATTATAATCGTCTCGTTAATACCTTCGAAATGAGTCCAATATTGAATAGTTTTTTACTTAATTATATTATTATATATTATATATACTGTGAAAAAATATTTTTAATATTTACGATTTATACTTTTATAGTCATTTATTTATATATATAATATATATATTGGGATTAGGTTGTCCAAATTGCACTGTATAACATGTTCTGAATTAATATGTTCTTGGGTTTTTTTGAAATATATATATATATATATATATATATATATACATGTATTAATTCAACCTTAATCTGAGTTTCTGGACAAAAAAGAGGGCAAGCAGTTGAAATTTCATTCTAAAACCCACCTGTTTTGGTCTTTTCATGGCTTATGATTTGTCAAATTTGTAGTTTTCTTTATTGGTTTTGAATGTTTATCTTAAAACTCAAGTTTCTTGGTTCTTTGTTCTTGGTGTAAATCGAATACATTTGTGGAGTCGTTTAAATATGTTGGATTTTAAATATATTGGATTTTAAATTGTCATACAATTTTTTCATCGATAGTCTGTAATTGGAACCATAACTCTTATTTATTCAAATTGTATTAATATGTAAAGACCAATTGTAACATATATCATCGTTAAATCTTATCTTATAAAACCAGTGGAACTTCAAAATCGTTAAAATTCATGGCTCCCGCCGCATTGCGCGGGTACATAACTAGTGTTATTCTAATTGTAGATTAAGAAATTTTAAGACTGAATGCATAAAGTAGTATTACTTAATGTATTATGAGTTGTTTTTAAGACTTTGTGCATAAATGTATAGTACTTTGTGCATTAAAAGCTGTTTTTAAGACTTTTGATAAATTTCGTTTATAAGGTAATATAGATAAGGCAAGTGAGAGTAGTGATCATGCGGGTAAGTACTTACCCGGTAAGCATTTGGTAAACGGACCCTACATCTATTTTAATCACCTCGTTTTTAAATTTTCTTCCAATGTCTCTTTTTGTTTGATACCAATGTTTATATATTATAATGTAAGATTATGAAATATCTCGTCCGTTACACCACAAATGCGACTTTATAAACAAACAAGAATTTGTATCTTTGTGGAACTTAAATCCTTTTAAACTCTTCGAAGTACTGCAAAACACACACATAACCCACATGCAGGTTTTTGATAATTGATTCTATGGTACGGTGTTCTTGATTCCTATAAGGGGGTATACTTGAATTTTTATCTGGGAATTTCTTCATGGATTTTGACTCGATTTTTAGTTTTTGGAGTTCTGGTAAAGATTTTGGTTGTGGGGTTCTAATTGGTGGATGTTTGAGAAAGCTTATGGATCTTTTTGGTCTGTTAATTTTGCTTTATTTTGGATTGAAGGTTTTGCAATTTAGTGTTGTGAACTTCAGGTTTTTGACTCAATTCGTAAATTGGTTTTGCCTGAGAAACTGTTTTGATGAAAACTCTGATCCAAATATGTCTAATTGTAAGTGCGGATTGGTGAACTTTTTGAATCTTTCAAGCCCGCCCATGATTGAGAAATGGGAGGTAGTTAATGAAACTGTAAATAGGAAGAGAAATGGTGGTTTTGATGAAGAACATGATGCAGATAAGCAAGAACATTATGATGAAGATGAGGTGTTTGATGTAATGACTCTGAGAAAGTTGGTTAAGATAGAAAGGCAGCGAGCCCATGATGCTAACCTGGAGCTCGAGAAAGAGCGAATGGCATCCACGACTGCAGCTGAGGAGGCAATGGCGATGATTCTGCGGCTTCAGAACGAGAAAAGCGTGCTTGAAATGGAATCCCAACAGCATCGGAGATTGACCCATGAAAAACAACTCCATGATCAAGAGGTTATCCAATCTTTGAGATGGATTGTGCTGAAGCACGAATCAGAAAGAAGCATACTGGAAGATCGTTTGAGATTGTGTCAACAAAGATTGAAGATTTATATCGATGATGATGATGATGATGGCGTGGATGGATGCGAACGGATTAATGGATCTTTAAGTTGCCCTGATGGTCTTGATGAAGGGCTGATTAGTTCTCTTGATTTGGGCTTGTCACCCTGTTGGTAAGTCTTTAATTGATAACAGACTGCTTAATGAGCTTAATGGTTGTATTCATGATTCATATCGAAAACCATCACTTGTGCTTGCAAATAAGTTGTTGATGTGTCTTGATCACATGATATATGCATTGCTTGTGAACATAAGTAATAATAGTTTGTTGGCAAACCTCTTTGCAAATTATACTTCTTGTGAGGATAAATGAAAACCCTTTGGATCTCTCTTTAAAAGAATTCTTATACATAAGGAATGTTCCTACATATATAAAGGTTTTGATAGAATTTTTTTTATTAACCTGGATATCCAACTCGCTATGCTAGCCGACTAATCTCAAGGCGACCACCTGCAAAGCAGATAGCCCGGAGTCACCGCATTTGAACCTCCGTGGCCACAAGGGGATTTTTATTCCTCCTTGGATTTGAACCTGAGACCTTCTGGTTTTTGATAGAATCTTGTCTAACTGTTGCGAGGCTCTAACAATTGCCCATGTTGCTTCTGTAATTTCATATCCTTGAGTGAATATGTTGATATAGTCGGGTTTGCTTCGATAACTTAAAAGTCTCAAATTTGAATCAATACTTGTGGATTGCTAGATAAACGTCCTCGACTACATCAGTGTGGCGCAAAAGGGTCGGACCAACCTTGGATATTGAAAAAAGCTACTCATGAATTCCATTTGTTTGAAGACAATTTATGTTACACCCCTAGTTTGAAGCAACAAAACGACCTTATTTTCTTTTTAGGAAAGACGGTGGCACATCTGGCAAGCTTAATTAAAGCACCAAGAAAGAACCATATATACATATGGGCATTTGAAGATGGGGTGTTCTTTTTAACCCGCTTTGGATTCGAAGCAAATAGAACTATAGAAGGTGTATATCAAAGTCGAGAGCATTTGAAACAGACAATTATTACATGTTATAAAGTGGTCATACACACACGATGGACACAATCGACTTTGCCCTTACACTATTTTGTCCCCATACAGTATCACATGTGATAATTGTCTGTTTCAGTGTACTCAAGTTCTCGTAAAATGAAATCGTTCTTGTTTGGACTTCCACTTATACACACATGTCCATGTATATATATATATATATATATATATATATTTGACAGCAGAAACCAAAAATCATAAGAAAATTTGTGCAAAAAAAAACTAAAAACCAACTAACAAAAGCCATTGAAGTAGGGTTTTCAAACCTGATACAATAATACGGTGGTTTTAATCAGTTGTCCAAGTGGCTATGGGCTACCAATGAAGAGTTTATGTTCGCGGATGCACAAATTGCACCAAAAATAAGCGTATATGCAATCTAACCTTAAATTAGGAGTTACTATTATCAAACCACAAAATAGATTAGTGTGGTTTTATGCAAGAACAATTATAAAACCAAAAAATGGTGGTTATAAAGAAACCTAACCCTAACTACAAAGGGACAATGGATGAACTACACAATGTGGATATAAAAATGGAGCGATTCCAGTAGAAGGGTGAATCACCTCTATTCCAAAAGAGGAACGATTCAAGTAAATGGGCGATTGACTGAGAGTAGAGAAGTACAGATTGATAGAACGAATGGAGAACTAACCTTGATAAGCAGTGATGGTTTCAAGAACGTGAATCATTGCCTTGGGAGAAGGAATTGTTGTCTCGGGAGAAGGAATCGACATATTTGGGAGCCAAGGAGTATAGATTCAACAATTTTAAGACTTTATGCATAAATTTGTAGTACTTTATGCATTTAAGGTTGTTTTTAAGACTTTTATGACATCTGGTTTATAAAGTTATATATATATATATATATATATATATAATAGGGGCCTATTCAAGGGAGAACTGAGTTGTTTGTGGTAACTGTGAGAACYAATCTTAACCACAAATCAATGGATAAATAAGAAAATTAGTAATTATGGTAATTTGAATTAAAATTATAATTAAAGGGCATTTTAGGTATTTTTAAAAAACTTCTCTCTCCGACCTCCGACCTCCGATCTCCGGTGAACATTAATCCGGCATGTACCAATGTATTACCAATTGGGGTACCACCATGTACCACATAATTTTCACTCGTCTCCTCCTTTCCCAATCCATCTTCTCCGRCYACTCTGTGATACCCATTACCCAATGTATTACCAATTGGGGTACCACCATGTACCACAGAATTTTCACTCGTCTCCTCCTTTCCCAATCCATCTTCTCCGGCCGATACCCATTACCCAATGTATTACCAATTGGGA